CTAGAATCAACCTGGCAAACCTTGCCTTAGTCAGTCTTCGGGGGGAATTAAGTGGACGGACAGGCACACTGAGAAGGTGCCTCTACTCGCCCGTCCGCTTTTCAGTCCAGAGCTCTCTCCCAGAAGGCGTCCCGCTCACACTGTAAGAGTGAGCGGCACGCCTCTCCTAGGGAGAGCTTCACGTTAGAAGGATGTCTGCACCGGCGCAGGAGCGAGCGGCGATATTCGGTGGTGGCGTTGGCGGGCCGACCAACACACACACACACACCTGCACCAACTTACATCCCCGCTCGCTCGAAAAGACACCGCATCGATCGCAGAACGTAAAGTGGCCTGCGCGGTGCAGCTCATGGCCCAGGGTCCCACTGCGCAGTGCTGGTGGGATAAGGTGCTCCCCTTCCCCCGCTCCACGACGAAACGACGATCCACCCGAACCTTCCCCATTCACGGCTTGCGCCACAGGGCCCTCTTGGCCTTGGGGGGCACGGCCTACCTACATCAGACCGTGCACCTCCAAGCCATGCGGGTCCAGACCAGGGTGTGAGCTCTCTCCCCCGCTGGTGGGCCTTGGCGGCGCTGACGGGGCCCGACGGAGCTTGCGGCGGGCCTCCCCGTGGAATCCTCGAAGCCCCCCGTCCGAACAGTCACCCCCGCCATCAGACTGAGCACTCCCTGCACCTCGACGGACCGCGAGGTCCAGGTGGCGCTCTTCCACTGGGGAATCGCCTGCAGATCGGCCCCCGCCTTGGCCTCAGCGTCAGCTAACTGGTTTCCCTGGAAATCGAGCTCCGCCTCCTGGGAGTTGTCTCGAGGCCCACGGGTGTGGGCACGGACTTTCACAAAGGTAAAATCGTCGTCCCCTGGAAACTATCCTGGAGCAAAAACCAGACACGGTCCCAGAGGTCGGCGTGAGGCCGCTTGGGAGAGCAGCACCACTTGCGCCCACGCCTCAAACCTCGGATGACGGTGCTGTTGTCAATACCATCTCGGAGGGGAGGGGCGGCGCATTCAAGGGTCTTCATCAGACCATAAATTTCAGCACGAAGAACAGACGCCTGGCATCGGAGCCCAGGGAGGGAGCCATGCATGGCCCTAGCCACAGCCCCCTCCTGGCCCAGAAAAACGTAGCCCCAACCAAACTCTTGAGCCCTGGCGGGCCCTTGCCTGAGCCGTCGGAGTAGGCCCAGCCGCTGACCAGGGGCGGGTTTTCAAAACTGGGGTTGAGCTCCTCCTGGGCAGGCGTGCAGTCTAGGAAGGGATCATCCAAGGGGTGCTCGACAATGCCATGCGAGAAGAGAGGAGAGACCGAGGAGGAAGTCTCAGCTCGCTGCACGATCCCTTGGAGATTCTCTGCCTCGGCTGTTTCCGCTCGAGCGGCTTCCTGACGAGAACAACGGCACATGCGGTGGTGCTGACAGCCCACCTCGAAACTACACGCCTGGCAGGACCTGTCGTCCCCAAAGCCCGCACGCCAGACTTTATCTTGGGTCCAAAAGTCACGCCCGAGGTAAGCGAAAATAGCCGATCTCCTCTGCGGCGATCGGTTAGCCCTTCGGCGGAGGAGAGCCCTGACGGGCTCCAGAAAAGGTCGAGCGATCCCAAGGCTTGCAACAATCAACTTCTTGAGGCAGGTGGGAGCGACGCGGCGAAGGTCCCAACACACTCCCAGGGGGTCTGGAACAACCGAAAACGAGGGCCAACTCCAAAGCATCCGACGGAGAGTGGCGAGCACGGCAGAAGCAGGGCCTTCTATACTTCTCCAGAGGCTGCGTCCAGGCTTTGCGGAGGAGGAGGAGGGGGAGGGGGAGAAGGGGGAGAGGAGGAGGCGGAGGAGGAGGACGAGGAGAAGGACGAGGGGGAAGAGACGGATGAGGACGAGGAGGAGAAAAGGGGGAGGAGAAGGAGGATACGGAGGAGGACGAGGGATAGAGGGGGGAGGACCAGGAGGAGACGGGGGGCCTACGCTCTTGTGACCATGCTTCGATTGTGCCTCCGAGCGACCGCGGCCCGAGGCCGATGCCGGCGCGCCCTCCGCGGGGCCGGGGCCGCCCTCGGCCTGCGAAGCCACCGCCGCCGCAGCCGCGGCCGCGTGCAAGAAATGGGCGCGCAGCGCCGTGTGAGGAGGAGGCAGGAGGAAGGGGATGAGGAGGATGAGGAGGAGGGAGCAGTATGATGACGATGCTGCTGCTGCTGCTGATGATGATGATGGTGATGATGATGATGATGATGATGATGATGATGATGATGATGATGATGCTATGCTGATGGTGATGATGCTATGCTGATGGTGATGATGATGCTATGCTGATGGTGATGATGCTGCTGATGCTGATGATGATGCTGGTGATGCTGATGCTGTGGATGATGATGATGATGATGATGATGATGGTGATGGTGATGATGCTGATTATGATGATGATGATGATGCTGATGATGATGATGCTGATGTTGATGTTGATGTTGCTGATGCTGATGATGGTGATGGTGATGGTGATGGTGATGATGATGATGATGCGATGATGATGATGATGATGATGATGATGATGATGATGATGATGATGATGATGATGATGATGATGATGATAATGATGATAATGATGATGATGATGCTGGTGATGCTGATGCTGATCATGCTATTGATGCTGCTGCTGCTGATGATGATGATGATGATGATGATGATGATGATGCTGTGGATGATGTTGATGCGGATGATGCGGTTGATGACGATGATGGTGATGGTGATGAGCGTTTTGTGATGAACGCACGTGTACAACGTGTGCGTCGACACAAGGTGGCTTGCACACGTCTTGCAGAATCGCCATGCCGATTCCCACGGGGTAGGGGGACCGTTGCAGGGGGGGGGGTCCAGTGGCCGATGCTCTCGTGTCATGGGTGCTGCAGCTTGGCATTGCCGTGTGCACCTCCGTGCCGTTGTATGGTTGTCGCTGCAGCGCGATGTCCCCTTCGGCACCAGGGTATGGAGGGGCGGGGCCGAGGCGGGAGACCGCGCGGGTAGGGAGGCATAGGTCTCCCTACTGTACACCACGATCCCCATCATGTGGACCGTCGCCGTTGCACGATCGCTGCCCCAGAGACGTACACAAGGCATCTCCCAGATTTGGTCCCGCGTGGTTTGGCAGTACCGGCCCATCCGTAAGATGACGGGCCCTCTCGCACTCCGTTGCCAACGTGGCTCAAGTGCCGCAGTTTCCAGCTCCCGCTGCGTCCCACCCTGGAGCGGCACTTGGGCGGCAAGGCGTGTGACTTCGAACCAGCCCACCTGGTGTTGGGCGAGGTGCTCCTCAGAGGTTCGTGGACCGCCCAGGGGCACGGAATGTGTCGCCCTGGGCGGCACAGGGCCAGTGTCGGTTACCATAGTGAGCCAGGTGTGCTCTGTTACTATGGTGGCTCTGGTTACCTGTGCCCCTGTGGTACTGATGGCTGCCTCAGCCTGTTACCAGTGCGGGGTAGCGTCGACCCAATGTGGTGGCATTGGGTCGCCTGGTGCGGTTGTCCCGCAGTGCCAGGTGACGCTGTAGGCGTCTTCCCCACGTAGCGCCATACCTACCAGGGTAGCTTGGTGACGCCGTCGGTCTCTCGGTGGCTTTCGCCACACCGCCGATCCCCCCCTGTGTCTCCCCTCGCCCGTGCGCGTGACGTTTATCATGACAACTTGTGATGATGATGATGATGATGATGATGATGATGATGATGATGATGATGTTGCTGGTGCTGATGCTGAGGATGTTGATTATGATGATGCTGATGCTGCGGATGATGATGCTGCTGATGATGGTGCTGCTGATGATGATGCTGATGATGATGCTGATGCTGGTGATGATGCTGATGATGCTGCTGCTGCTGATGATGATGACGATTATGACGATGATGGCGATGATGATGCTGATGATGATGGTGATGATGATGATGGTGATGATGATTCTGATGATTCTGATGATGACGATGATGCTGATGATGATGCGTACGAATGGTGATTAGGATGACGAATAAGAAGACGAATTATGATAGCACTATTCACACGAATAATAAACATACTACTGCTAACACTCATAATCATAATACGAGAACAATATAATAACATATTAATAATACTCATCACGATGAGAATAACACTACGAGTAATACTAACACTACTGATACGAGTAAGAAGCATCTTCATACGAATGAGAAGAATACTAGCAATAATAGTATTACCCATAAGAATTTGAATACGAGGAATCCGATTATTAATTTTAATAATACTAATCATGATGCTAATACGAAGAATGAATGCTCCGAATAACAATAATACGAAGAGGAGGAGGATGACGAGGAGCAGGAAAGGGTACCGACGCCGCTACCCTGGCCTCGTTTTCCTTTGTGGGCCTCATGCGAGGCCCTCGTCGCCATGACTGGATTTGCCGGGAAATTCTTTTCAGAACGCATCCCCTCAGAGGCCCAGGGAGTAACGGCATCGGCATTCATTGGTTTACTCAGGACGGCGAGGGGTATGTGGTTGTTGGGGAGGATACCAAGGAGGCGGAGGAAGAGGAGGAGGAGGAGGAGGAAGGAGGAGAGGAGGAGGGAGGAGGAGGAGGAGGCGGCGAAGGAGGAAGAGGAGGAGGAGGAGGCGGAGGAGGAAAAGGAGGATAAGGAGGACGAGGAGGAGGAGGCGGAGGAGGAGGAGAAGGAGAGAGAGGAGGAGGAGGAGAGAGGAGGAGGAGGAGAGAGGAGGAGGGAGGAGGAGGGGAGGGGGAGGAGGAGGAGGAGGAGAGGGAGGAGGAGGAAGAGGAGGAGGAGGAGGAGGGGGAGGGGGACGGGGAGGGGGAGAGCGAGGAGGAGGTGGAGGAGGACGAGGAAAACGAGGAGGAGGAAGACACTATGAATTGTCATACTACACTAATAATAAAACATACTCGTAGTACTAGTCATAATATCAATCATACTAGTAGTAGGAAGACTAGTAATACTAATACGAATGCTCACCATACTAAGAATATGGTTACGACGAATCACAAGAATACTAATACTATCATTAATCGTCAGCACATGAATAGTTCATGTAAGAAGAATAAGCAGAACACTCGTGCGAACAATCAGTATACTGCTACGTATTAGTGATACCAGCAATAGTGATAACCATAGTAATACGAACATTCAGCATACTGCGAACACCTACACATAATAATGACCAGAAGAAAAGATATACGAACCATCGTGTTTGTATGAATCATACGATCATTCATGCGACGGGTATGAACAATATCAATACGCTAGCGAAGACAACTAAGACGCATATTACCAATACGAAGAGTATTACGAAGACGAACACGACTAATAATATGAACACGAATAATAAGACGACGAACGCGAATACGATGATACCTAAGAGTCATAAGAGTCGTAGTACTACGACGGATACTAAAGCATACTACCACTATTACGAGACACATAGTAGTATAAGAGCAACGAGAAGGATACTAATATTGATAACATGAATAGCGCAGTCAAGCATATTACGAATACTAAGACTGACACTTATACTAATAATACTCACGCTACTAAGAATCGTCATCATACTAATGTTACGAAGAGTACCACGACTACGAGACAACGAGAAGAGGAGGAGGAGGAGGAGGAGGAAGAGGAGGAGGAGGGGGAGAAGGGAGGGGAAGAGGAAGAGGGGGGGAGGACGGGCCCGCGTTGCCAAGCCTCGCCGCCGCGCCTTGCCGCGCCTTCGCCAAACCTCGCTCTGCGCCTTTTTTGGCCCCGCCGCGGGCGGCGGGCGCGTGTTCTGCAGGAGGTGGGCCCTGGCGGGCTTTCCCGCTTTCGGGCCGCCAGGGCCTTCGGCGGGCCCCCCTCTACGGCCCTTGGCGGGCCACGGGGCCGAAGAGCAACCGAGGGCGACTTCCAGTGTCCAAGGCCCGCCTCCTTCAGGGCACGCTTGCGCCGTGGCGGAAGAAACCCTGGCCGGGGCGACGAAGAGAACGGGCGGTGGAGGCGGGTGGAGGCAGGGCGGGGGACGGCGGCGGCGACGACAGCGACGGCGAGGGCGACGACGAGGAAACCAAAGACGATGGCCACGGCGACGGCGGCGGCGGCGGCGGTGGCGACGACGACCATGACAGAGGGGGGGAGAAGGACTGCCCGCTTTGCTCGGGTCGGACGAAAGCCCCGGGAAATGAGAGGGGGGGGGGTACGAAACTTGCTGCGCGCAGCTGGTTTCGGTCGCCCCGCCGAAGGGCCAGTCCTCGATGCATAGCCGCGTTCGGCGCGCCCCCACTTCGTCCAGCCCGCCTTGCCCGCAGGCCCGCGGGGCAGCTGGCGCCACCCTGGCGCATCGGCTCGACAGAAAAAAGGAGCGCCCTGGCTCGCCGTTGTCTCCTGTTCCCCCAGTCTGAGCTGTCTGTCGCTTTTTCGCTGGCGGAGGGCGTCGGCGCTATTCGCCAGCGCCGCCGCCGTTGATTTTCAATCTGGCGGGCGCCACCCCGCGAGTCGCCCGAGCAAGGGACCTATTTTGTTACACGCGTGCCCTCAATCATTTGTTAATCACAAGCTGTCGCTGCTTCTCGCCCTGCATACGCTTGATGGGGAGCGGAGGTCTTAGCTCAGCCGTCGAAGGCCCGCGCCTCTCCGAGTCCCCACCCCCGTCCATGTCGTGCCCCCTGGCGCTTTTTTTTGCACTTTCCTCCTTTTCCCATTTTTCCATTTCCCCACCCCCGCCTTCGTTTCATCTCATCCGCCCTTCTCCCGCCATGCCTCTCCCTTGTCCCTTGTCTTTTCCAGCAGTATAGGCCCTGTGAGATCATCGTAACGATCCATGTTGTGCAATCTATGTTGTTGGTGCGAACTATGTTGTGCAAACGTAATTGTGCGACCTTTGAGGTATAGAAAAAGTTGTGCACTCTATGTAGATCAGTAGTGCGATACAACCTGCGTGGGGCAACTTCAACTGTGCAACAAATGGTGTGGTATCTATGTTGTGCACCCTATTTGGTACGATCTGTGTGGTACAATCTGCGTGAAATCGTTTCCGTGGTGGACGATACGTTGTACAATACAGGTTGTGCAACATATTGGCAATCTAGGTGGTGCAGCCTGTGTGGCGCAATCCATATAGTTTACAATTTATGTGGAGCAAGGTACGTGATGCGACATGTGTCGTGCAACCCATTTGGTGCAATTCATTTTGCCGGCTTCGAACTTTTCAACTCCGCTGCTCGCGCAGACATCCCACCCACCCACCCGCATCTTGGTTTGCAAACTCCACGCTGCGGCGATTGCGATGAGTGTTTGGTGTTGGCTGGTGCATCTCTGCGGCCGCGCTAGCCCGCGCACGCTCGCGCTCGGAGCGGCCAGCTAGTTTGGCGCGACCGACGCGGCCGCGGTGGCGCTGACCGCTGGGCACATCCCAGCGGGCACTTCAGTGCGAATCGGCGATATGGGCGGGCGCGGTATCGTGGCAGCATCGACAACGGTAGAAACGATGATGATAATAGCGGTGTTGATCACGATGGTGACAACGGCGACGGCACGGCCAGTGACGGCGCCGATGCTGATCACGCCGACGACGATGACGGTGTCTTGTCGTCGGTGATGAAGGCTTTGGAAGGAGTTCGACGTAGGCGCGCGGCCGACACACGAGAGTGGCCCGCATGGTATTACAACCCCCTGGATTAAAAAGTCCGGACCGCAGAGGTCGGGGAATAAACCTTGTTGTTCGGCTCCCGTTAGGCCGCGGGGCCCTGGTACAATGTTGCAGGGGCCGCCATGGTTAAATTCCTGGTCCATCCTCACCCCCTCTTAATATTATAGTCGCCAAATGGGGTGACGACCGGAAATCCGCATTCCGCTTAATACTTCCTCCAAAAAAGTTCCCGGACGCTTTTCAGGCGACCGGAAATTCTCAGAGGCGACCGGAAATTGGCGATTTCGCTTGGGACTTCCTCGCAAATGAATTTCCGGTCCCCGTTATGTTGCTTGGAAGTTGCGATTCTGCTTGGTACTTCTTGCCAGGCATGTTTCCCTCTCTCGGGGAGCGACGATGCAAGGGGGCCTGCAGTGCCGATCCGGACTTTCTAATCCAGGGGGTGGTAGTTGACGCGGATCGTTCTCCCCCAGCACGCGCGCATGGGCGTTCGAATGATTTCGAGATGCGGCGCGACTGGCTCGTTTGGCATAATTCAATGAACATGATCTAAAACGTCGTGGTTTCTTTGACAATTTGCAAGAACGCGAGCGCCGTTTTTTTGACAATTGGTGTTGCGAAGCCATGTGGGTTATATGTTTTTTGGACTCGATTTTGAAATCTTCACGGCGCCAAACAGGTTTTGAAGGTTTTCGGCATGCGCTCGTGACGAGGCGCGCGCGTGCATTTTTTTGTTGCAAAAGGCTCTTGCGACAGCGCGCGCGCAAGGGCATTCGAACGATTTCGACACGCGCGCGCGAGAAGCCCGTGTGGTGATATGTTATGAATATCTGGGAAAAACAGTTATTTCCCGTACAAGCGCGCATATTTTCTTCATGTAGAAAAAATCAT